GCTCGAGAGTTGCAGCAGCGTGGCCAGCTTCGTCTTGCTTACGTGGCCTCTCAGGCCAACACTGCTGATGTCTTCACCAAGGCACTTCAGCCTTGTGATCATCAGCGTTTCTGTACTGTGTTAGGCCTTGTACCTACTGTGCCTCACTTGTTGACTTCTTGACTCTGCTTGTACTGTACTCTATATACTTATACCTGCATGCTTACACTTGCTAGGTTGTGTTCACTGTATTGTTTACTTTCCTTTATATATAACTCTGCATGTGAACTGGCCTTCTGGCCCTTTGCTTGTGCTCAGACTGTGTGGTGACTTTGTGATCCACCCTGAGTTTGCTTTGTCTTTCTTGACTGGTCTTGTGACCCCTTGTTCTCCCCCACTTTACCTATGGGGGTGTGTCAAACATATATTTACTATAGTCGGTCTAGGCTGTAGTGGGGTAGTCCTTAGAGGGTACAACACTTATGTGTTTCCTACTTGTACCCTTCTCATTTCCTAATTCCATCACTCTTTCGTCTATCATTCTCACAAGAGTAGGTTTGGTCTCCGGCAAGGAGACACGAGGCTGAAGTTTGATCTGATGCGCAGCGTACTGAACCGCGAACGGCCACAGAAAATGGGGAGCAGCCGCATGGATCATGGACGTACGAGCAACGTCCATGACCATGCCAATGCGGCGCTCAGCAATCCCATTTTGCTGCGGGGAGGCCGGAAGCGTGAACGTCTGGCGGATGCCCTCCGCACGACAGAAGACCTTCAGAAGGTCGGAGGAAAACTCACCACCTTTGTCTGAGTGACGCAGAACAGGAAGGTCCGAGCCGAAACTCTCGCTGAGCTGGCGACAGGCACCGTGGATCCAGTCGATCAACACCTCTGTGACCTCACCCTTGCGGCGCAAGGGGAAGACAGTGGTGTAACGCGAATAGTCGTCAACGACTAGCAGGAAGTAACGCTCGTGACCCTGTCCACGGACGCAGGCTGGGCCCCACACGTCCTTGTGGAGAGTTTTCAGGGGAGCCTCTGTCGGAGGGAACTCGGAGGAGTGAGGAGCGGCGCGCTGCCGGCCCTCGACACAAGGAACACAGGTAGGGGAAGGCCCCAGAGGAAGGGGAGGGAGGGACCGGGGAAGACCAGAAACAAGGGTACGGGAGGCCATACCTCAAAGACGAGGCAGGGAGGGGTGACCAAGGCGGTGGTGCCAAAGGAGAGTCTCGTGTGACAGAGGACGACATGAGCAGGGGGCAGACGCTGGACTAGACCTGGACGCGGCAGCAAACACCTGACCAGACGCGGCTACCTTACCAGACGCAGTAACCGGAGGAGACGCAGTAGTCAGTGTGTACAGACTCGACCCTAGCCGACCGGTGAACGTGGCCAGGTGGCGGCCCGTCCGAGAGCAAGTGCAGTGGGTCACACACTGACCTCCAGGGGTGAACTGGTCGACCCACGCGTCCTGGAGGTCAGCTCCACTCATCAGGTTCGTAGAGAACGAGGGGAGGTGGAGTCCCGACAGCAAGCCCGACGGGGCCGCAGGACACGGTAGGACCGTGGAAGAGTGCGCAAGGACTGGGCCCCCAGAGGGGTTAGCCAGGGAGACTGTGACAGGCCGACTGAGCGGCGTGAGTGTGGTGCTGTCGCGAAAGAAGGAGCGCGAAGCACCAGAGTCAAGTGTGAAAGTGTGCAAGGCCTCAGTAGGTGCAGTACCAGAGAGAGCAGACTCACCAGCACCTAGAGCAGCAGACTCACTAGTACCTCAAGCAGCAGACTCACTATACCTGGAGCAGCAGACTCACTAGCACCTAGAGCAACAGCCTCAATGCCCGGGTCAGGCGGAACACTCAGGTAACAGTCACCCTCAGCACTATCAGTCACAGCATACATGGCAGCAAGGATAGCATCGAAATCAAGATCAAAGATAGCAACATTCTGCTTAAGCAGATCACCCCAGCGAGGGAGCTCAACAACGTCAGGAAACTGGGCGCGCCAGGCGTCAGTCACGCGACCGAAGCAGCGCCGCGTAGTGTGTGGCAGCCCGCACGTCTCCCCACGGCGCCCGCCGGTGCGAAGAACGTAAGTGCAGGGACCAACACCCCCAGACCTCCCACGCCCAGTGTACCACTCACGAAGCTGCTGGGCCGACGGGGTCTCACGGGAACGCGGCTGCTGCTGGCGCTGGCTACCACCAAAGCCTCCACGCTGCGCGGCTCCACCTCGACCAGCACCACCGCCGCCGCCACCTCCACCACCGCTGCCGCTGCCTCCACCGCCGCTGCCGCTGCCTCCACCACCCCCACCGCCGCCACCGAAGCCCCCACTCCCGCCACCACCCTTACCTCCACCGCCACCCCCTCCGCCTCCTCCAACGCCTCCACCACCTCCCCCACCGTCCCCTCCACCACCCTTGCCCCCCTTGCCCTTGCTGTTGCGGCGCCTCCCACTAGGACCAGACCCAGCCCCGACCTCCTCAGTGCCAACGAGGTCCACAGCAGCAGCAGAAGCAACAGAGGGGAGAAGGGGGACAGGGGAACACCCCTCAAAGAAAGGGGCGCGAGGGTCGCCGCGAGAAGCACCTACAGCAACGATACTCTTCTCAGTTGCAGTGAGGCGCTCCTCCGCTTCTCAGTGGGAAGCGCAGCGCGGTAGCGGGCGTCACTAGTGCGGAGGTGAGTAATGAGGTCAGCGACTGTGGCAAAGGCGGCAAGGTCAGGGAACAGGTACGGCAGCATGAGGCGGCTGAGGGCAGCAGTGGCAGGGGAGGAGTAGCGTGCTACGACAGCGTCATAGAAAGACTTAGCTGTCTTGTACTAGCCAAAGTGCGCGCGCTCAGCAGACGGCAGGTGACTACGAACAGCAAGGCGAGCAACAGCATCACAAGTGGTCCACTGCGAGCGAACCGTACTGTCAGCAGTGGCAGCAGGTGCAGTAGAGACACCGGACGTGTGATCAAAAAGGGATACTCCGTCCTTAGAGTCACACTAAAGAAAGAGCTGCTGGTCGTCAACCCACACGTCAAAGTCAACCGCACGCCCCTCAGCATCAAAGGTAAGAACATTAGGGCTAGCCATAGCAGCAGTAGCAGCAGTAGCAGCAGTAGCAGCAATGGCAGCAGAAGCAGCAGCAGGAGCAGCGCGGGCACGGCAGTGCGGCTCAGTAGGGCGGCGCGGCTCAGTAGGGCGGCGCGGCTCAGTAGGGCGGCGCGGCTTGGCTCCTGGCGGCGTGGCGCGGCAGGGCGGCGCGGCTCGGAGGAGCGGCGCGGCTTGGCTGGGTGGCGCGGGTGCTTACCAGGGGCGGGTGCAGGACAGGGCCGCAGCTGGTGGTTAGGTCAGGGCCGCGACTGGGGCGGCAGCAGGGCAGGGCCGCTACTTGGCGGCGGAAGAGCAGGGCCGCGACTGGGGCGGCTGAAGGGCAGGGCCGCGACGAGCAGCGGCAGGGCAGAGGCCGCGGCGGGCGGCAAGGTCGGGGCCGCGACAGGCGGCTAGGGTAGGCCGCGACGGGCGGCAAGGCAGGGACGCGGGTGGCGGCAGGGCAGGGCGCGCGACGCCGCAGGTGAGGCAGGCGCGAGGCGCGCTTCGGGCAGGGCAGGAAAAAAAATGTTATCGTGGTGGGCCCTAAAAAAAACGTTCCCACGAGGGAACCTGCTCATAATACCATGTCAGAATCGTGAAGGAAGGAATGACTGAACTAGCAAGCAGGTGGGTACAAGTAGGAAACCTAAAAGTGTTGTACCCTATATGAACTACCCCACTACAGCCTAGACAGACTATAGCATATAAGTTTGACAACCGCCACCGCAGACCCGTCACTTACCAGCCCGACGACTTAGTTTTACTCGACACTCAAAACCTCTGCCTGCCCATAACCCCGAAACTCCGCCCCGGATACTATGCGCCATTTCGCATCAGCCACATGATCACACCTATCACCGCCCACCTCCTCCTCCCTACTGACTGGTACGTCAGCCTGCTTCGCCCCTACATCCCATCCACCAACCAACTGGCCCGAAATCGCCCGGCCAGCATTTTACGACCACCGACAGAACCAGTCATCATGCCCGAGAATATTCTGATCCACCGAGTTCGTGACCCACGAGGAGCTCGAAGGGCCGAATTCCTGATCCGCTGGAGAGACCGCACGCCCACCGAGGACAATTGGGTTCCCCTGGACAGAATTGAAAACCACCCTGTCCTCATCGAGTATCTGCGCAGCCGGAATTTCCGGGATGTACACGCGCTTTCGTAAGAGAGGCCTCCTTAAGGAGGGGGGTAGTGTAAGGAAAATCCCTTTTCCTTATTTCGCGTCCCTGCTCAGCGCGTACACCACTGTTCCCGCGAACAACACCTCACAATAATCCGTTACCAGTCGCGATTTTCGCCTCGACCCCATTCCCGCCACTGTTCACGATGCGACCCAACCTCACGGTTTGGTTGGTAACCCGCACTCCGGACCTCCGCCTCGACATTCCCCAACCTCGGCACCAGGCCCGTCGCGCACCCCATTTTCCCACACGTTACCGTTACCACTGTGGCTTCGCTATATACTATTCGCTCAATCCTTTGCTCATTGTATTTCTTGTCTCGATAATTCAATCCTCGCTCGCTCACTCCATTGCACTCGTAACATACACACTTAAGACCTGAATAGATTTTGAGAAGGTATCTGATTGTATATACATACATATCTTGAAATCGTTACAAATGAAGTGTTCAATTTTTCCAGACGCGTATCGCAATGTGCGGTGCGTGAGAATACTAGGTGCGCAATTATTGCTCAGCCGCAATTTTTTCGCACAACTCCTGAAAAGTGATGATGGAGTGAACCACCTCTCTACCACTCCTGACCGTTAAAAAACGCTCATACAAATTTCTTTTGACCCTCACTCCCATCTGCACCAACAACCCAACCCGCAAATTCTCATTTTCATAATTTCGAGGTGCCATCACTCTGAGCAGAGTGGAAACTTGGGTGGCCCAAGTTCCCCTGTGTTTCCCGCCGCATCCGACGCTATGAGGCCCAGAAATCGACTTAGGCGCTACGAGAAGCATCATGGTGCGGGATCGCCTCATCTTATGTCGAGCCGCAACATTACAGCAAATTCTGCAATCGGCGAACATGCTCAGCATATTTAACGCGGAGGGGGTTGGAAACAACTCATTCACCCCAGTACTACTTACAGCAGTAAAACTAATTCAGTACAACCTCGCACAGAGCTTCTTCCTCAACTACACTGATAGCAACAGCCAAAATCATGGGTACGCCTCGCCCTCGTTTCCTGCTCGCCCTTGTCCTCGTGGCTTCTCTGAACCTCCTCGCGGTTTTCGCGGCGCTCCCTCCGGTGGTTACTTAGACGCGAGCGAGCCCGCAGTCGAGGAAGCATACGACCCGCGCGCGCTCCTCCAGGCCGACAGCGATGCCTCACTTGAATCCGTCACGGACTCGTCCGTTGACTCGATTGACTCCGTTGACTTGGAGGACTCGGAGGACCCGCGGGTGCTTCTCGCGGTGGCGGATGTGGCGGCAGACTTGAAGCAGACGTCGGACGACGCGAGCGGCATGGTGAAGAAAACGCTCGGGCAGGCGGGGAGGAACGTGCGCAACTCGATCGGCTCCATGATGGGAGCCCCGACCAAGGGCAAGAAGAAGCACCGCCACCATCGCCACCGCCACCACCGCGGGAAGACGTCCGCTGCTCCCGCTGCTGGCGCGAAGGGGGTTGGGAAGCAGCAGGCGGGAAGTAAGCTCAACTCGGGCGCAGCCGCCAAGACTGGCGCACTGACGGGGGCTCCAAAGAAGCAGGCGGGAAGCAACCCGGGCGCAGCACCCAAGCCGCCCGCTGCTCCCACTGTTGGCACGGCAGCCGTCCGGAAGGAGCAGTCGCCGGGAGCAAAGGCCACCTCGGACACAGCCCCCAAGCCCACCGCTGCCACCGCTGCCAGCAGTGCTGCGCCCGGCATTTGATTGGAGAACCAACCAGAAGACGTGCAATGGAAAAGCAGAGGAGGGTGGCAGGGCGGCAGGGCCCTTGGACATAGGGAGGAGCGGCGAATGGAGGCCGAATGACCCTCTAATGCATGGGGAGGGGGAGGTTCTAGAAGACCTGCTGCTTGTGATGTGGCGTGCTTGTGGCAGTGCTGCCGTGTGTGTCTGTGTGCATGTGTTTGTGCTGTTCTGTGAGGGAGGTGGGGAATAGAAGGGACAAGATGAGCAAGGATTCTGCTCTGCTTTTGCATCTCAGTTTAATTTCCTTCCAGTGTGCTTTGTTTTTTTTCCTTCCAGTTTCATTTCCTTCCAAGTTTTGATGCTGATTGCATGTGGTGGGCTGCTAGTGCAATGGTGATTCTTTGTCAATGCCAATGTTCTCTGCTCTTATAAGAAATCAATTTACAGTTCATATTAGGCCCAAATTGCGGATGATGGCACATGATGGCATGGCACGGCACTAAACTTTCACGTTTTAGCACCCCTCTTCAAAATTAGCCAGATGGCCCTCCACCTGGCACAAAAGAGGTGCTTTCTATGAATAAGTTTGCCAAATTATGTTAATGATTTTCAATTAGTATGTGTCACATTTATATGGTCACAACACAGCACTAGATATAACTTGGCTTCTAGATACCTTTGATCTTGCAGTAAGCATACAGACCCGAACCCAGAAACCCCATAACTTGCCCAATAATATTGCCCTGCAGAAAAAATATAAACAATGAAAAAAAACTTGCGTGAGAACAGAAACATCAGACAGCAACATGTACCCAAATAGCAGACCCTAAAACCCCTGTTACCATATTAAAACCCTCCCACACCATAATCCAATATTATCCCCCAACCGCCAATATCTCCCCCTTCGAGAGGGGAAAAAAATCCTTCCCCTCACACCCTTCCCTACCCCACTCTTGCCACTCTTACCAGGTCAAACGGCAAGCCTCCAAAAAGTGCCCAACCGATTCCAACCGTACCTAAATCCTGCAGATACCAGCCAGGAGAGGGATGTGGATTCTGGATTCGTTTAGGAGGTGAGATTAGTTTAGGAAATGAGAATAGTAGGCGCAGAGTGGAGAGAAGAGTTGAAAGTTGTGCTGACGAAGATGGTGGCTGGGTGGGTGTGCACACCTGAATGCAGAGTGTGATGTTACCTTACACCCACACACCTATGTGGCAAAAGATGCGTCCTGCGTCTGGACGCAGCGTCTTAGACGCAGGATGCTAGATGAGGGCCTTTAGGACGCATGAAAAGACCCATGCCCGGGCAGGGCAAAAAAAACCCCCGGGCAGCTGTAAAAAAAAGTTATAGGGCTTGGGAAGGAGGGGGGGGGGGGGGGGACCTTCGCACACATTCAATGCAAAATTTTCCCCAACAATAAAACCTTAAGGGTTTGGTTGGAGCCCACAAAGGTTGGATGTTCTAGATGTAGAGTGGTTGGGTGGGTTGGGTTGGGGGCTTTACAAATTTGTGTAGAGGGGTTTGAAGTTGGGGGGGGGGCGGGGCTGTTTTCAATGTCGAGTTGCTTTTGGGGGGTCGTTTTTTCGCGAAATTGACATTCGCGTCGAATTCGCGAATGCCAATTTCGCGTTTCGGGATTTTTTTTTTCCAGGGGCAGACCGAAAAAAAAACAGGGTGCGTCCTGCGTCTGGACGCGCGTCCTGCGTCTCTGCGTCCAGACGCTGCGTCCAGACGCAGGACGCAGCAGGACGTGTGCGTCTTTTGCCACTTAGCCACACACACACCTTGATGTTACTTTGCCCACACACACGTTGATGTGACCACCAGACCTCGATCTTACCACCACACCTCGATATTACCACCACACCTTGATGTTGCCGCCACACCTCAATATTACCACCACAACTCGATGTTACCACCACGCCTTGATGTTACCACCACAACTCGATGTTTCCACCACGCCTTGATGTTACCACCACAACTCGATGTTACCACCACACCTCGATGCTACCACCACACCTCGATGTTACCACCACACCTCGATGTTACCACCACACCTTGATGCTACCACCACACCTCGATGTTACCACCACACCTTGATGTTACCACCACACCTCGATGTTACCACCACACCTTGATGTTGCCACACATGGTTTGGGTGAGGGCAGAGTTGAGAGTGGTGTTGAGGAAAATGGTGTAGTTGAGAGCAAAGGCCATGAGGCATGACATCGACAGCACTGCCTGATGGGTGGGAGAGTTTGGAAGAGATTGGGAGAGATTGGGAGAGATTGGAGTGGTTGGATGATTGGAAAAGACAAGGTGTTGAGGAAAATGGTGTTGTTGAGAGCGACGGCCATGAGGCATGACATGGACAGCACTGCCTGATGAGCGGGTGGGTGAAAGGGGGAGGGGAGGGAAAGAGGGAGGGCATGCATTCCTGCTGTAGCACAAGGGCTAAAGATGCTGTAGTTGAGAGCAAAGGCCTTGAGGCATGACATGGACAGCACTGCCTGATGAGCGGGAGAGATGCCATGGAGTGTATTGCACAAAATCAGGTTAGAAGAGTAGAGAGGCGTTGAGAAAAAAAAGTGCAGTTGACAAGATTTTCAGAATCGATTCAAAAATCACCAGCACAGGCTGATGGACGGGAGAGGTAGCACAGGCTGATGGACGGGAGAGGTAGCACGGAAATTAGGTTGGACGAGTAGAGAGGCGTTGAGGAAGGTGGTGCAGATGTCGGGAGAGGCCATGAGGCATGACATCAGCAGCACTGCCTGATGAGTTGGTAGAGGGGGTTGGGGGGGAACACACGCAGTCTGTTTGCATCACAAGCTGCTGCAGAAAAGATGGTGTGGTTCAGTGCGAAGGCCATGACGCATGACAATGAAAGCACGGCCTGGTGAACAGGAGGGGAAGAGGGAGGGGGGAGGGGAGTAGGAGAGAGCACATATGAAGCACTGCTGCGCCCATGATGGTGTGGCTGAGGGCGGAGGGCATGAGGGTTAGCATCAACAGCACGGCGTGGAGGGCGGGAGAGATGGCATGGAAGGGCAGAAACATCAGGTTAGAGGAGTTGAGAGCGGTGTCAAGAAAGATGGTGTAGGTGAGGGCGAAGGGCATGAGGCATGATATCGGCAGCAGCACCTGGAGGGCGGGAGTAGAAGCGGGGGGGGAGGGGGGGAGGAGGGGGGAGATCCCGGTACGGTTGGTTGGTTGGCTGATTGGAACAGAAGCGTGCCATGAAATGGCATGGCACAGAATCACATGGCATGGCACAGAATGCCATCGCGTGGCATGACATGACATGAGACTGTGAAGAAAGGAAACTCAAGCATTAACTTCATTAGAGAGTTTGCAAGCATACATAGCTTTGGGAAGAGAAGGTTGGAAGGGAAAGGAGGGAGGTGGGAATGGGGGAGTGGGCCAACCTATGGCCCATTGGGTTGGGTTGGCCATACTTGGGGGAGTGGGCCAACCTATGGCCCATTGGGTTGGGTTGGCCTCACTTTGTGAGAGTGGGCCAACCTATGGCCCATTGGGTTGGGTTGGCCCTTACTTTGTGAGAGTGGGCCAACCTATGGCCCAATGGGTTGCATTTGGGGGCTCCACCACAATTGGGTTGGATTGGCACCCCAAAGTGCAAGACTACACCCAAAGTTGGGTGTAGTCGCAACCCAACTGTACACCACAATTGGTGTACAGTCACAAGTGTTAGCATGCTAGAATATGGCAATTCTAACACAACCCCTTAGCAGGCTAACACAGGAAGGGAGCAACCCTTGAATCAGGGGGCGCCCGGGCGAGCAAGACCGATGAGACGGAGGAGAGCAGAGTGCGCAGGGCGAAGGAGAGCCTTGGTGAAGATGTCGGCCAAGTTGGCCTCAGCAGCAATTTTGCGGACAGCAAGAAGGCCGCGCTGGACGAGCTCGCGGATGAAGAAGTAGCGGAGTTCGATGTGCTTGGAGCGGGCGTGGTAGACAGGGTCCTGAGTGAGGTGGATGGTGCTGGCGTTGTCACACCAGAGGGTGGGGCAGGGCTGAGGGGCGCCAAGCTCAGCAAGAAGAAAGCAGAGCCAGCGGGACTCCTGGGCGGCCATGGTGCCAGCGTAGAGCTCAGCCTCGCAGGAGGAGAGAGAAACGGAGGAGGAGAGGGTGGAGCGCCAGCTAACTAGGCCGCTGCCGAGGGTGAAGCCGTAGCCTTGAGAGGAGCGGCGGTCAGGCTGCGAGTCGGCCCAGGAGGAGTCGCTAAAGCCCGAAAGGAGGGGAGGGGAGGAGCCACCAAGAGTGAGAGCGTGGTCCTTGGTGCCGCGAAGGTAGCGGAGGACCCGCTTAGCAGCTTTCCAGTGCACCTCGGAGTGGCGACCAGGGCCAACAAAGCGAGCGAGCACGCTGATGGGGTAGGCGAGGTCGGGACGGGTGCACATCATAGCGTACATCAGCGACCCAACGAGCTCAGCATAAGGGTGAGAGGAGGAGGAGGGCGAGGTTGGTGGAGCAAGCTGGTGGCCGAAAGGGAGGGGGGTGGCTATGGGACTGGCCTGAGTCATCTCGTATTTCTCCAAGATTAGGCCGATGTAATGAGACTGGGAGAGGGTGATGGTGCGAGCGGGACGGTCGCGAGTGATAGCCATGCCAAGGTAGTGGGTGAGGTCGCCCAGGTCCTTGCACTTGAGGCGCTGCTGCAGCTGCTGCTTCATCTGCTCCATGTCAGTCTTGGAGTCAGAGAGCAGAATCATGTCATCCACATACACCAGAATGAAGAAGCGGCGAGGGGAGGAGCGAAGGAAGAGACTGGCGTCAGAATGAGAGGCAGAGAAGCCAAGGGATCCCAAGGTGGTAGACAGCTTCGCGTGCCACTCCCGAGGTGCTTGCTTCAGACCGTAGACAGGTCGACGCAGCTGCCACACAGTGTTATCCGGAAAGGCGGCGTGGAACCCGGGGGGTCGCCGGAGGAAGATGCGCTCGTGCAGGTCCCCTTGCAGGAACGCATTGGAGACGTCCATGGAACAGATCTCCAT